CCGCGGGCGCGCGCGTGCACAACGGCACGTGCGTCTTCAACCGGGGCGTCGTCCTCTTCGACCCGAGGAGGTGGCGCGAGCTCGGGCTCACGCGGACCATCGAGGAGCTCGTGTCGGCCTACGTCAAGTCGCACGCGCGGCTCTGGCGCGGCGGCGTCTCGCAGCCGCCGTTCCTGCTGGCGCTCGGCGGGCGCTACGCGAAGCTGCCCCTCGAGTGGAACGTCCGCGGCCTCGGCCGCGTCGACATGTCCTACGTCGAGTACGAGGCGAACGCGCGGGGGTCGGCGGCCCAGGGCGACGCGCTCGCGCGCCACGTCTATCGGGTCGGCGTCTTCAAGAAGAAGTTCCACCCCTTCGTCGCGCCCCTCGCGGCCGCGGCCAAGGTCCTCCACTTCACGGGCGAGCTCAAGCCCTGGCGCATCGGCGCGGACGCGGCCCGGGACTGGCGGTCCCGCGGCGTCGCCATGACGCCGAGCGGCCACGTCTCCGGCGACTGCCGCCTCGACCCCAACGCCGCGCGCATGAAGCGCGAGCTCTTCGTCTGCCCCCACGCGCGCGGCTGCGGCGACGCCTACTTCGCCAACTACACGTCGACGACGGAGATCTTCTCCTCGGGCTGCTTCGCGCGCTTCTCCCTCTGCTCGTCGCATACGGCGCCCGGCGGCGCGGAGGCCTGCGCGGCCGTCTGGCTCTCCTACGTCGCGCCCGAGGCGCGGACCGCGTGGGCGGCCATGGAGCGGGACCTCGACGGCGGCGGCGGCGCCGCGCGCTAACATCTCCCGCGACGCGGCAGGGGGGCTTCAGATTCCGAACCTTGTATGTCGATAGGGGTTGCAACATCGTCGTGTGTTTCCAGTTATGTTCGCACGCGTCGCTGCGCATGCCATCGCTGCCCATCGGCTCGAGCAGCATCGTGAAGGCAACCTTTGGCAACCGAGCCGCTTGCTTGCTCTCCGCGTGGCGCGATGATGCCTCGCGAGTCGGGCCGCTTGAGGCGGCGCCTCGCCATTGTAACCGCGCTGCTGGTCGGCTCGGCCTCCGGCGCGTCGCTGACGTCGCTGTCCGCGCGCGACGCGGACAAAATGAAGAGCGTGCTCTACGGCGGCGCCTGCTGGGTCGTCGCCTGCACGGACGCCGACGACAAGGGCACGGGCCAGTCCCTGCTGGAGCGGGCCATGGACGACGCCGACGCGGCCAAGGCCTGCAGCGGCGCGACGCTCAAGTGCGACGCGAAGCTGCCGAGCGGCAAGTCGACGCGCGCGCGCCTCGGCATCGCGAAGCCGCCCGAGGGGTACCCGCTGCTCTTCGTCGCCGCCAACGGCGAGGCGCGCGCCGTCGCCGTCGAGGAGTACGCCGTCGTCGACGGCCAGACGGCGACGCCCGACCACCGGCGGCTGGCGAAGCACGTCGCGGACGCGGGCGCGCCGCCGCGGCCGACGACGCTCGCCGCGGCCGCGGATTTCAAAGCCAAGTGCGCCGAGAAGCGCCACTGCCTCGCCGTCTTCGTCAACGGGTCCCGCAGCGACGCCGCGGCCCTGCGGGGCTTCAAGCAGGCCGCGGCGAAGCTCGCGCGGACCCGGCGCACGCTCCGCGTCGTCGTCGCGGACGCGAAAACGCTCGGGTCGTTCTCGCTCGCCAAGGCGCTCCCCGGCGGCGCGGCGACGGCGCTCTACCTGCGGCGCCTCAACGCCAACGAGAAGGCGGCCCTGGCCGCCGCCGCGGCCAAGCTGCCCGCGGCCAAGCGGGACGACGCGGCCTTCGACGCGTCCGCGTGCGGCGCCGGCGACGTCCTCGCGAAGAGCGCCGACGACGCGGACCGCAACTTCGAGGCGAAGCGCCTGGCGCCGCGCGACTGGGCCGGCGCCGGCGACGCGGCGGAGACGCTCGTCTTCCGGAGCTCCGGCGTCTACCTCTCCTACGGCGCCGCGGCGCTCGCGCTCGCGGAGCACGCGCTCTTCGGCGCCGCGCCGACGGCGCGATCCCTGAGGGCGCTCGCGGCGAAGCGCCCCCTCGCCGCGTCGTCCAAGCCGCCGCTCCTCGGCGCCAAGGCCTTCCGCGGCGGCGACTTCGGCGCCGAGGCCGTCGGCGCGTGGGTCGACGGCATGACCGCGGCCGCGGCCGACGACCTCGCGTTCCTCCGGCTCGGCCTCACGGGCCTGCCCAAGGCGCCCAAGTTCTCCAAGGCGGGCGCGCCGAGCCCGCGGCCGACGCGGCGCCCGAGCCCCCGGCCGACGCCGCGGCCCGCGAGGACGCCGACGAAGCCGCCGACGAAGGCCGCCAAGGCCCAGGCCGCCAGGGACAAAGCCGAGGCCCGCGCCGAGCGCGAGCGCGAGGCCCGCGCGAAGATGGAGGCCGACGCCGAGGAGCACATCCCCCAGACCGTCGACATCTCCGACGACGGCGACGCGTCCTGGCACGTCGACGACGGCGACGGCGACGACGAGGACGACGACGACGAGGACGACGACGAGGACGAGGACTACGAGATGATCTAAGAATTGGGATAACTTGTAAGGGATGTTGGACTCGCTATTGAAGGGATGCGCGCCCGACTGGCGTCCGTCCGGGCCGGGGAGCTCGAGCTCGAGGGGAACGGGAGCGAGCCATACGCCGATGATGAAGTCAACGCACTAGAGGGCAATGATGAATCTCAAGAATCCATTTGACTTCAGTAACGAGCCGAATCTTTCTCTTTCGGTGGGCTGGCATGCCCCGACCGATGGGAGCTGCCTCCCGCCTTGACGGATGACGGGGCGCCGTTTGCCGCTCCTCGCGGCCTTGGCCGTCTCCGGCGTGAGCGCTCAATGCATCAGCGTCGCCTGGTATCAGCTCTTCGGGCGCTAAGCCGGCGCAACTTCCGGCGCAGGCCTCGGCGCGACGCAGCTTGTAGTTGACGTTGTACCGACATTGAAATGGCCGACCGGTTATGATCCACAGGATTTGCGAGGATTCGAGCGCGCGACGACCCGCAAAATCATGATCCGTGCAGCGATGCTCACCCTGCTCCCGCTCTTGGCCTCGAGCTTCGCGCCGCCGCCGCGCGTCCGCGTCGTGCGCGTCGCGCCGCGGCGCGCCAGCGACCTTTTGCTCATCGGCGACGTCGGCGGCACGAACTCGCGCCTGCAGCTGCACGAGATGGCGCGGTCCGAGGTCGCGGAATGCGCGTTCGACGGCACGGGCTGCGCGGCGGCGGCGGCGTCGGGGAAACTCGTGAGCGAGCGGCGCTACGAGAACGCGCGCTTCGCGTCCTTCGACGCCGTCGTCGCCCAGTTCTTCCGCGACGAGGCGCTCGCGGACGCCCACCTCGCCGTCGTCTGCCTCGCCGTCGCCGGCGTCGTGAAGAACAACGCGTGCCAGCTCACGAACCGCGACGCGCTCTGGCGCATCGACGGCGCGGCGCTCGACGCGGCGCTCCCCAAGGGCGCCGCCAAGGTCGTGCTCGTCAACGACTTCCTCGGCGCGGGCTACGGCCTGCTGAGCCTCGACCCCCGGGACAGTGTCGACCTCGCCCCCGGAGACGCGGACGGCGACGGGCCCATGGCGTGCCTCGGCGCGGGCACGGGCCTCGGCGAGGTCTACCTGACGCCGAACCTCGGCGCCGAGGGCCTGGGCTACACGGCGTGGCCGACGGAGGGCGGCCACGTCGACCTCGCGCCGCGCGACGACGAGGAGGCGGATCTGCTCGCCTGGCTCAAGGCGCGCGTCACGGGCGGCGGCCGCGTGAGCGTCGAGCGCGTCTGCTCCGGGCCGGGCGTCGCGCACGTCTACGCGTTCCTCGCCGAGCGGCGCGCCGCGGACCCCGGCGTCGCCGCGGAGGTCGCGGAGGCCGACGCCGTCGGCCAGGGCGCGCGCGTCATCGGCGCGGCCGCGGCGGAGGGCCGCTGCGACGTCTGCGCGCGGGCCATGGACATCTTCGCGAGCCTTTTGGGCAACGAGGCGGGCAACGCGGCGCTCAAGTGGAACCCGACGTCGGGCCTCTTCCTCGCCGGCGGCGTCTGCGTCGACGAGAACAACCGGCGGCTCTTCCGCGACGACGGCCCGTTCATGGCCGCCTACCGGGACCGCGGCCGCGTGTCGCCGTTCCTCGACGACATCCCCGTGCGGCTCGTCACGGAGAAGGACCTCGGCCTCCGCGGCGCGAAGCTCCTCGCGACGAGCATCCTCGCGAGCGCCAACCGCAAGGCCCCGTCGTAAAAACCACATCACATAAAGCACAGCGCGACGCGCGCGGGGAGGGGCGGCGTCACTTCGCCTCCTTGCAGTCGTCGTCGTCGAAGTCGCCGCCCTTCTTCTCGTCCGGCGGGTCGTACGCGTCGAAGCCGAACTTCTTGCTGCTGTTTTGCCTCAGCGAGAAGCCCATGCCGCGTTTCGCCGCGGCCTCCATGAGCTGCGCCCGCGAGATGTAGCCCGGCGTCTGCGCCGACATGGACTCGAAGTCGTTGCTGTCGTAGTGCTTCCCCGCGACGCGCTTCACCTGCGGGGGATGCGGGTTTCGAGCGCACCGGGCAGCGTTCCATTCTTTTCGAGCCGGTCGAGGGGCAGCCCCCGGGGGCCGTCGGCACCGCAGCGCGGCACCAATTTCGCCAGCGCGGCGGCGTCAAGCGGCGCGGACGCGGCGCGCGCGCCGTCTCCTCGTCCAACTTCTCGGGGAGCATATTGCTATTCCCCATCACGGCGCTCCGGACGCGCCCGCAAACGTGCCGACGAAATTGTCGGAGCCGCGTGCTGATTGAGCTGCAACACCGAGTGCCTTGCCAACTCGCTGAACTGAGAATAGGAAGGCGAGATCGATTGGTGCTGCTCCGCCTGTTGCCCAGCGTGCTGCGCCAGCCGCCGACACACGCCAACCCCCCGTCCCCATGCTGCTCGCACGACTGGCGCGCGCCGCCGCGCCGCGCCTCGCGGCGCGCCGGGTGGCGCCGGTGCGCTCCCTCAGCGCGGCGCTCCCGCGCGCAACAACCTGGGCGGCGCGGCGGCCGGGCGCGCTGGCGCCGCGCGCCGTGGCGGCGCGGTGCTTCTCCGTCGAGGACGTGCCCGTGCCGTCCATGGGCGACTCCATCACCGAGGGCACGGTGGCGGAGTGGAGCGTGGAAGTCGGCGACACCGTCGCGGTCGACGACATCGTCGTCATGATCGAGACGGACAAGGTGTCCGTCGAGGTCCGCGCGCCCGTGAGCGGCGCGGTCACGGAGCTCCTCGCGGAGCTCGACGACGTCGTCGAGGTCGGCGCGCCGCTCTTCAAGATCGACACGAGCGTCGAGGTCGCGGCGGCCGCGCCGGCCGCGGCCGCGCCGGCGGCCGCGGCGCCCGCGGCGCCCGCGGCGGAGGCGCCCGCGGCGCCGGCGCCCGCGGCGGCCCCCGTGCCCGCGCCGACGCCGGCGCCGGCGATGCCGGAGCCGCCCAAGGCCGCGGGGAGCCGCGGCGAGACGCGCGTGAAGATGAACCGCATGCGGCAGCGCATCGCCGAGCGGCTCAAGGAGGCGCAGAACACGGCCGCGTGCCTCACGACGTTCCAGGAGTGCGACATGGGCGCCCTCATGGAGCTCCGCAAGGCCCACAAGGACGAGTTCGAGAAGGTCCACGGCGTCAAGCTCGGCTTCATGTCCGCGTTCGTCGCGGCTTCCACGAAAGCGTTGATCGAGATCCCCGCGGTCAACGCGTACATCGACGACGACGCCAAGGAGATCGTCTACCGCGACTACTGCGACGTGTCCGTGGCCGTGGCGTCGCCCAACGGCCTCGTCGTGCCCGTGCTGCGGAACACGGAGGCCATGTCGTTCGCGGACGTCGAGAAGACGATCGGCGCGTTCGGCGCGAAGGCGCGCGCGGGCGCGCTCGCGCTCGAGGACATGGCCGGCGGCACCTTCACCATCTCCAACGGCGGCGTCTTCGGCTCCCTCATGGGCACGCCCATCATCAACCCGCCCCAGTCCGCGATCCTCGGCATGCACGCGACGAAGATGCGCGCGGTCGTCGCCAAGGACGGGTCCGTCGTCGCGCGGCCGATGATGTACCTCGCCCTCACCTACGACCACCGCATGATCGACGGCCGCGAGGCCGTCACCTTCCTCAAGAGCGTCGCCAACAAGATCGAGGACCCCGCGCGGCTCCTCCTCGACATCTAGGGCGGGGGCTCCCCGCCATATGCCCCGCCGCCCCCCGCGCCCCGCCCAGCCTATAGAAGAATCACTGCGGAGGCGCGTAGAATTCAGCCTGAGAGCATCAAATGTTTCCCTTCAACGAGCGCATATTGCTAGCCCTGTTCCGATGAGTCACACTTTAGTCAGAAGCCGCCGGGGGGGCACCAGAACTCGACGACGAGGCCCGCGGCGTCGTCGGGGAAGCCGGGCTTGCACTTGGTCACGAGGCCGACGAGGACGCGCTTGTGCGCGCGCGCGTGCTCCCGCCAGCCGCCGCGGGCTTTGACCTGGTCGACGAGGCGGCGAGTGGATTCGCTCCGATTCCATTCGCTGTAAGAAAAACCGGCGGGCCAGTGATTCGGAATCACGGCACCAGCGCGGAGCAATAGTTTTGCTAGTTTCCAGTGGCCTAATCGGACGGCGGCCCAGATTGGCGTTTCACCATCATCGTTTGCATCGTTGACGCGTGCACCAGCTTGGATCAGGAGCTGGGCGCAGGCTATCTTCTTTTCCATCGGCCTCGCGGCCAGCGCCAACATGATCAATGGAGATGTAGAGTTTGTGTCTTTCGTGAACGTTGGCATCAGCGTCCGCGGCGAGCAAGAGCGCGATGCAGCGTGGGCAAACAGTATGTATTGCTGCCATGTGCAGCGGAGTCCACCCCGCGCTTCCATTGCCAGTACTTCTCAAATCCACATCAGCGCCGTGTTCGAGCAGGAGCGCCACCGCATCAGCTTCGCGACCGTCTGCCGCGAAATGCAAGGGTGTCATTCCATAATCTCCTGCCAAAGGGCTACGCGCGTTCACTTCCCGTCCCTCTGCGAGGAGCGCGCGCAGCCGCGCGCAATCGCCGTGAGAAGCCGCGACCCAAAAAATGCTCATCGTACTACGGCGTCGAGCCGGCCGTCGTGCGCCGCGGGGATCGTGGGTCTCATAAGCTCGGACAAAGAGCGCGCCCGAGTGAAAAAAAAGGCAGCTGCAACTTGGGCAGCTTGCTCCGCGGCGCTAAAACTCGAACCACACAGTTGTGTCGGCAGCCTGCCGATCGCGCCGGCGCCGATGGCGGAGTCGGCCGCGTCCATCGAGGGCCAGCTCTGGCTCGTCTTCACGTTCTACACGATCCGCGGCAACGCGTCGGACCCGGAGCGGCTCACGGCCGCGGCCCTGAGCCGCCTCTGCAAGGACTGCCAGATGTACAGCAAGGCCGTGCACGGCAACGCGATCAGCGAGCGCCAGGTCGAGGTGGCCTGCGCGGCGCTCCGGCGGCGCAGCGTCGACCGCGCGCGGCAGGGCGCCGTGAAGCAGGCGCTCGGCGACAGCGACGCGTTCGGCGCGGAGCGCGAGGTCTACCGGTCGCGCGGCGCGCGCGGCGGCAGCGGCCTGAGCCACGCCGAGGGCGCCTGGCGGGGCCTCACGTTTCGCGAGTTCCTCAACGCCCTCGTCCTCTTCGCCGAGCGCCTCTTCCCCGTCGAGGGCTCGGACCGCGACCGCGCGATGACCGAGCTCGCCGCGCTCGAGGAGCGGGGGAAGCCCCGGAGCGGGACCTACGTGGCCGCGTCCCAGCGGTCGCGGTCGCGGGAGGAGGCCTTCGAGCGCCTGCTCATGGAGTGCGTGCTGCCCCTCGCGAGCCGCCGCGTGCCCGCGGAGCTGGGCGGCGCGCTCGACGACGCGGACGTCCTCGAGATCCGCGACGCGTTCGAGGACGAGCTCTTCGAGCTCTTCGCCTTCTACGCGGCGCGGTCCCAGGCGAAGACCGAGGCCGTCGACGCCCAGTCCGCGCCGGACTGGTCCGAGTACACGCTCGGCAGCGACGAGCGCGCGGCGACGCGGACGCTGCACGGCGCGGGCGACCGCGCGCGCTACGAGCGCCTCAAGCGCCGCAGCGCCCACGTCGCGCTCCACTGGGAGGACTTTGGGCGCTTCGCGCGCGACTTCGGGCTCGCGGGCGGCTCGCTGCTCAGCGCCGTCGACGTCGCGGACGCGTACCTCGCGTGCGTGACGCTCGACGACGTCGACGGCGCGGCGTCGGCGTCCCAGTCCGCGCGCGCGTCCGTCGGCGACGCCGCGGGCTGCCGCAAGGGCTGGCGCCAGCGGCGCCTCCACTTCGACGGCTTCTGGGAGACGCTCGTGCGCTGCGCGCTCGTCTACGGCGCGGCCGCGCCGCCGGCGGTGCCCGTCGCGGAGAAGGTCAAGGCGCTGCTCCTCTTCCTCTACAAGAACCGCATCGGCCGCGAGGCCGACGGCGTCAAGCACGAGCGGGCCGACTCGTCCAAGTACCTCCGGAGCGACCTCATCATGCGCGCGGACAAGTTCACGAAGCGCTTCAAGCAGGTCTGGGCGCGCGACGGCTACCGCGCCTACGGCGAGGCCACCGACTCGCCGCGCGGCGACGCGCGCGCGGAGGCGCAGACCGTGCTCGAGACGCTCCTCACGTCGAAGCGCACGCCGGGCGACGGCGAAAACGAGGAGGACGAGGAGGAGAAGCCCGTGACGCTCCTCGTCGACGACGACGACCTCGGCGACGCCCGCTTCACCGTCGCCGACGTCGAGGAGCTCATCAAGCGCCGGCCCCTCATCGGCCGCATGCTCCAGCTCACCATCGAGGCGACGAAGTCGTGAGCCGTCCGAGCAAGGCCACCTTTGCGGTAAGGTGATGTCAATGAGCCCTCTCCGGAATCGCTTTCGCAGCACCGGCGTCTGTGGCAGAGGATTCTACCACTGCGGCCGCGCAGCTCCGTGCGGTGCTCGCGTTGCCGGACCGCGCGCGCGCAGGAATTGCGCGACTTTGAGAGAGCGCGTGGATCCCTCGGCGCCAGCGGCGGTCGGCGCACGTCCAGCCGGGCTTGGGCAACACCATGTCCGTGAAGACCGTGCTCTTCAACGCGCTCCAGGGCGTCATCGGCGACCTCATCGTGGGCTTCACGGCGGACAAGCTCAAGGTGGGCCTCTGGAGCGGGAAGATCGAGCTCGACAACCTCGAGGTCAACGTCGAGGCCGCGCGGAAGCTCGGGCTGCCGGTGCGGATCGTCTTCGGCAAGGTCGCGCGGCTCTCCGTGTCCATCCCCTGGACCGCGCTCGGGTCCCAGCCCGTGCGCATTTTCATCAGGGGCGTCAGCGTCCTCGCCGCGCCCGAGGCGTCGCCGGCGGACAGCGCGGATCTCGCGAAGGAGCTCGGCGACGCGCTCGCGGCGCGGCTCGAGGCCGCGGACGCGGCCTTCCTCGCGAAGCTCGACGCGGGCGACGACGGCGCCAAGGGCGGCAAGTACTACGAGAAATTCGTCGCGAAGATCGTGGACAATTTGGAGGTCTCCGTCGAGGACGCGCACGTCCGCCTCGAGGACGGCGGCGACTTCGCGTGCGGCTTCGTGCTCCGGTCCTTCGTCGCGCGCGCGGCCGACGCGTCCTGGGCCGCGGCCTTCGTCGAGCGCAGCGGCGACGCGCTCCTGCGGAATTTGGTGTCGCTGCAGGGCGTCGCGTGCTACTGGGACGACGCGAACGCAGGCGCGGGCGACGACCCGGAGGCGTTCCTGCAGGGCAAGATCCCGCGGGAGGGCTCCGGGGCGCCGGCGAATTGGGTCCTCGCACCCCTGGACGGCGCCCTGCGGCTCACGCGCAACGAGGCCTTCAAGGACGGGTTCCCGCAGTACGACGTCGGCCTCGAGGTCGGCGGAGACGCGGGCGCGGCGTTCACGCTCAAGGCCGCGAGCGCGAAGAAGCTGCTCGCCTTTTTCAAGCGGGCGGACCTGCTGGCGCGCCAGCGGCAGCTCGCGCACCTCCACCCCAAGGCCGTGCTCGGGGATCGCGCGCGGCCCGTCGCGCGGGGGGCGTGCGCGCGGGCCTGGTGGACCTACGCGCTGCGCCTCGCCTGCCCGCGCTACGCGGAGCGGGCGCGCCAGCGCGAGGCCCTCCGCCACTTCGGGGCGATCCGCGAGCGGGACCGCTACACGGCGCTCTTCGAGGCCGCGTCGGACGGCGAGGCCGCCGCCGATCGCGACGAGCGGCGCGCCGTCGAGCGGCAGGCGCCCTTCGAGGTGCTCTGCCTCTGGCGCCAGCGGTCGCTCCTCGCGCGGCGCCGCGAGCGCAAGCGCAGCGACGCCACGGAGCGGTCGAAGAAGTGGTGGCGCTGGGGGTCGCGGTCGACGTCGGACGTCGCGGACGACGACGACGACGTGCGCCACGAGGACCTCGAGGCGCTCTTCCACGTCGACGACGAGGCGGCGGCGGCGCCGCGGGGCTTCGAGATCCTGCGGCTGCGCGCGCTGACGGGCGCGCGCGTCGCGCTCGTGGGGCCCGCGGGCCCCGTCGGCGAGCTCGCCGTCGCCGCGGAGATCGCCGCGACGGCGACGGCGGACTTCGAGAGCCTCCACGTCGACGCGAAGCTCACGGAGTTCGGCTTCGCGGACCTGACGGGCGCGCTCGCGCGGAGCGGCGTGCCCGGCGGCTTCGTGGTCGCGCCGCGCGGCACGGCGTCGGACTGGCCCGTGAAGCTCGAGGTCGCGCGGACCAAGGCCGGCGAGCTCTCCCCCATCGTCGCGACCCTGGACTGCGACGCCTACGGCTTCGCCTACCACCGGCCCTGGATCGACGGCTTCCTCGAGGCCTTCGTGACGGACGTCTTCAAGGACGACGACCTCGCGACGGCCACGGCGGCGGCCAAGGACGCGCTGCTCGAGGCGGCGACGGAGGCGCTGGCGAAGCGCGACGTGTCGACGGCGGCGTCGCGCGCGGACGAGTTCGCCGGCGCGCCGAAGAGCTTCACCCTCAAGGCGAACGTCGGCGCGCCCGCGCTCGTCGTCCCCCGGAGCTGGGCCGAGGACCGGGGCCGCGTCGTCGTCGACATGGGCACGTGCGCCCTCGGCGGCGCCATGGCCGACGTGGGCCAGCGCTGGGATCTGGATCTGCGGAACGCGACGCTCCAGCTCTTCGCGTCCGCCGCCGGCGCCGGCCGCGACGTCGTCGCGCCGTTCGGGCTCAAGGCGGCCGTCGACGTCTTCGACGGCGCGCCCCTGGATATCGACCTCGCCCTCACGGGCGACCTCGCGCTGACGCTCGCGCCGGCGGACGCGACGGCGCTCCTCGAGGTCGCCGCGGCGCTCGGCGGCGCGGGCGGCGACGAGGTCGCCGAGGCCGAGGCCGCGCTGGAGCGGGACGTGCTCGACGTGCTGGAGACGCTCGAGGACGACATGGTCAAGCCGTCGGCGACGCGCCTCGCGACGCTGGACGTGCGCGCGGCCGTCGCGAACCTCGAGATCGTCGTGCTGACCGACGACGGCGACCGCGTCTACTGCCTCGCGGCGCGCGGCGTCGCCGCGTCGTTCCGCACCTTCGACGCCGGCGGCCTGGAGCTGGACGCGACGCTGCGCGAGCTGTCGCTGACGGAGGCGGCGTCGGGCGCCGTGCTGCTGGAGTCGTTCGGCGACGCGGCGTCCGAGGCCGCGGCGGCGGCCGCGGGCCGCGCGTTCAGGGCGCTGCCGACGGCGCGGTCCCAGAACCTGGACGTGCGCGACTCGCTCGTCGCCTTCTCGTTGCGCACCTTCGACGGCTTCGAGGACGGCTTCCAGTCGTTCCACACGGACTGCGAGGTCGCGTTCGCGTCCGTCAAGCTCGCGACGTCCGGCGAGAACTTGAGGCCCCTCAAGCCCTTCTGGGACGGCGTCCAGCGGGGCCTCGAGGCCTTTGGCGGGCCGGCGCCGCCGCCCGTCGAGGACAAGGCGGCGTCGCCGGCGGCGGCGGAGGAGCCGCGCGCGCTCCGCGTCGCGCTGCGCCTCGGCGAGGTCGCGATCGTGCTCACGGACGGGGGCGTCGACGTCGCGGCCGCGGCGGTGACGGGCGGCGCCGTCGTCTGGACGAGCGCGGGCGTCGTCGCCGACGCCGCCGTGCGCCTCGCGAACCTGCGATTGACGGACGCGCGGCCGTCGAGCGAGGGCCGCGCGTTCCGCGAGATGGTCGTGCCCTGGGCGTCCGGCGACGACGAGAGCGGACGAGCCCTCGACGCGCTGCTCGCCATGTCGTCGGGCGACGCCCTCGTGGAGCTGCCCGCCGACGACCTGCTGCTGGCCGTGGACTACCGCGACGAGGACGGCCACAAGAGCGTGTCCGCGTCCGCGCACCCCGTGACGGTCCAGCTCCACCGCGAGCCCATCGCCGCGGGCCTGAGCGCGGTGCTGGAGCTCAAGGACGCGCTGGTCTATGTGTTTGCGTCGGGCCGCGCCGACGAGGCGGCCGCGGCGCCCGCGGCCGCGGCTGTGGACGACGCCGCGGAGTCGGAGCTCGTCGTCCAGGTCGAGCTGCGGGCCGCCGAGGTTTTATTGCTCGAGGACGCGGGAGCGCAGACGACGCGGGCCCTCGCCATGCGCTTCGGCGCGGGCTACACCTACTCGAACCGGACGCGGGGCCGGCACGCGGAGGTCGTCACGTCCGCCGCGGTGCACCACCTCGCCGCGTCGCTCGCGGAGGACGGCCTCGGCGCGGCGCTCCACCGGCTCGTGGCGCCGACGACGGTGTCGTTCCGCCTGGAGAAGCAGTTCGACGGCGAGATCATGTACGACTCGAAGGTCGACGCGCACGTGAGCGACGTCGACGTCCGCGCGTCGTACCGCGATGTGATCTCCGTCTGCGCGGTGCTCCGCGGGGCGCTCAACGACGGCGGGCCGGCGGCAACGGCGGAGGAGGGCGTCGCGGAGACGACGGCGGCGGCGGCGGCGAAGCCCGCGGCGGGGCGCGTCGTCACCGCGCGCTACGAGGCGCACCTCGTCGGCTGCCGCGTCGTCCTCGTCGACGACTCGCGCGGGCCCGCGGTGCCTCTGTTGGACGCGACGCTGCGCCACGTCGACGCGTCGCTCCGGGGGCCGACGACGGCGCTCGAGGGCGGGGCGTCCCTGGAGCTCACGGCGAAATGCTTCAACCCCGACTGCCTGAGGTTCGAGCCGCTCCTCGAGACGTACGCGCTCCGGTGCCGCCTCGACGCGGCCCTGGACGACGCGACGGGCGGCCTCGACTCGCTGACCGTCGACCTGGCGTCCGACGACGTGTTAGACGCCACGCTGTCGACGTCCTTCGTCGCGCGGCTCCTGGAGCTCGAGACGCAGCTCGTCAAGACCGTCACGTCCAGGGCCGACGGCGGAGCGTCGCTGATCGCGCGGCGCGACGAGCCCGCGCTCCGCGTCCGCAACGAGACGTTGAAGGCCCTGGAGATCCGGCCGGCGACGGGCGCCTGGCGGCCCTTCCCGCCGCGGGGCGCCGTCGCCCTGGGCCGCGAGGGCGGCCGCGGCGACGCGGCGTCGATGGACCTGCCGGCGGCGGTCGACGTCCGCGGCGAGGGCCTGGACTTTTCGGGCCTCGTCGCGTCGGCGCCCTGCCACGTCGCCGTCGGCGGCGGCCTCATGTGGGTCGTCGCCTTCGACGAGCGGTCGGGCGTCGTCTCGGGCGTCCTGCGGAGCCGCGTCGTCGTCCGCAACTTCCTGCCCTGCGCGTTCGACGTCGCGCGGTCCGACGCGCCCCAGGCGCCCGCGGAGGCGCCGGGCGGCGGCGCGGAGACGCCGCTGCCCCTGCGCCTCGCGGAGGACGGCGCGGCGCTCTTCTTCCGGCGCGCGGACGACGGCTTCGAGTACGGCGGCGGCGAGCCGCTGCGCGCGTGGGGCGGCGGCGGCGGCCAGGGCGCGCGGAAGAAGCGCTTGGTGATCTCGAAGCGCCCGGGCGAGGCGGCCGTCGCCGTCGTCGGCGCGGCGAGCGGAAACGGCGAGGCCGTCGTGACGCTGCACCCGCCCGTGACCGTGGAGAACCGGCTGCCCTGCGGCGTCCTCGTGACGCTCCAGGTCGGGTCGCGCGGCGAGTCGCGCGTCCGCGTGGCCCCGGGCGGCCGGGGCGCCGTCGTGGACGTGGACGTGTCCGGCGGCGTCTGGGTGTCGCTCCGGGTGGGCGCGTTCAAGGGCCGCTGCGACGCGAAGATCGTGCCCAGGAACTGCCCGCGCCGGGCCGGCGACCGGCCGTCGGCGACGTCGCGCGGCGTCCACGACGTCCTGCTGGGCGACGACGGCGAGCGCCACGCGACGGTCGGCGTGCGCTGCGAGAAGCGGCACCGGGGTCTAGGCCTGGCAATCATCCTCGAGAGCCCGCTCTGGGCCGTGGACAAGACGGGGCTCGGGCTCGACCTCGCCGCGGCGCCCGGGCGGCCGCGGCCCGACGCGGCGTCGCTGCGGGGCCGCCTGCTCAAAAAAAAGTCCGTGCGGCGCGCGTCGGCCTTGGTGGCCGACGGCCGCCACTTCGTGGCCGTGCCCGAGGCGCTCGCGCCCTTCGTCGCGTCCGCGCGCGTCGCGTCGACCCGGAAGCACGAGATCCTCGAGCGGCCGCCGGCGGCGGCCTACGCGGACGAGACGCTCTACACGTTCCACGCGCTGCCGCCGCCGCTGGACGCCGCGCTCTACCTCCCGACGCAGCACGCGGAGCGGAACCCGACGCAGATGGCGGGCAACGCGGCGGAGAAGGTCTTCGGCGGCCTCGGCCGCGCGCTCAAGGGCCAGGGCTCCGTCGCCGCGCCGCCGGGGCGCTACCTGACGCTCGAGGCCGGGAGCCGGGGTTTAGACGTCTACGTGGCGCTGGACGCGCGCGCCGCGAAGCCGCCGCGGTGGCTCGTGGAGCGGTTCGCGCGCGCGACGGACGCGGGCGCGGTCGTCGTCGAGAAGCGGCGCCACGCGCTGTCGCTCGAGCAGGCGCCGGACCTGCGGTCCTTCGCCGTGTGGAAGCACTCCCTGGCGCCCGGCGACACCTGCGACCTGGGCTACAACGAGGAGAAGTCCATGTACCTCGTCTTCCTGGGCCGGCCCGCGTCGAAGCGGCGCGCGTCGGCGGTGTCGCCCGAGGACGCGGCCGCGGGGTCCTGGGCCTACGACGGCTGGCCGGGCTACGACTGGCTCGACCCCGACGTGTCGCACCAGGCCCTGCTCCACTCCTACGACGGCCACCTCGCCGCGGGCTCGGGCGGGGCCTGGAGCGCGCGCTACGTCGTCGGCGCGGCGCGCTTCCCCGTCGATTTGAGGGACGGCGCGCGGCGCTTCGAGCTCGAGGCGCGGCCCGTCACCCTCAAAGGCGTCTTCGGCGCGGGCGCGGGCCTCGCCGTGGAGCTCGCCCCGCGCTTCGCGCTCTGGAACGTCGACGACGAGGCGACGATCGTCGCGCGGCAGGCCGGCGGCTCCCGCGAGGGGTGGCTCGGCCTCGAGCGCCGCGGCGACCGCGCGAAGCCCTGGCACTGGCCCGACGCCGACCGGCCCAAGGTGTTGGAGTTTGGGGTGTTACAAGACGACGGCGACGTCTGCTGGAGCTGCGGGTCCTTGGCCATCGACAACCTGGGCGGCCACGCGTTACTCTTACGGGACCTCGCGACGGTCGCGCGCGTCGAGGTCCGCGTCAGCGAGTCGACGCACCGGCCGCCCTTCGAGGCCGTGACCGTGCGGGTCTGCGTGGATCGCCTGGGGCACCGGCCCCTGTTCCTCGCGAAGAACGACTCGAAGCATCGCCTCGCGCTCTACCACGGCGCCCGGCCGCTCGGCGACGTGCTCCCGGGGGCCGAGCGGCCCTTCGGCTGGGCCGACGCGGCGTCGAAGCGCGTCCTCACGGTCCAGTTCCCGGACCTGCCCGGCGCGCCGACGGGCGGCGACGTCGACGCCGACGCGGTCAACGCCGCGGGCCGCGAGGTGTTGAGAGGGGTCGTCGAGAGCTCCGCGACGGTCGCCGACGGGTCGCGCGTCGTCCGCTTCGGCGACGCGGGCGCCTTCTTCGACGAGCCGGAAAACCCGGAGCCGGAGGCGCAAGGCACGCAGACCTTCACGGCGACGCTCGGCGGCTGCGCGGTCCACGTCGTCCACGGCCGCGGCGCGGCGCGGTCCGAGCTCGCGTGCGCGCACCTGCGCGCCGTGCGCCTGAAGATGGCGCGGTCGGGCGACGCCGACGAGTTCGAGGCGCGCGTGAAGACGTTCCAGGTCGACAACCACTGCGCGGACGCGAGGTGGCCCGCGCTCGTGAACGGCACGCAGGAGGACCGCGTCGCGCGGCTCGCGCGGCAGACGAGCTCCCTCGTGGGCCTCGACGACGACGCGGCGACGCCGGACATGGTCGAGGTCGCGGCCGTGTACAACACGCACGCGGGGACGACGCCGACGCTCAAGTATCTGGCCGCGAGGGCGTTGCCCGTCGAGGTCTTCGGCGACGCGAACTCGCTGTCGAAATTAAAGCTGGCCGCGGACGCCGTGGGCGACGCGCTCCACGCGGACGCGCACGTCGACGACGACCCGGAGGCCTGGGCGCAGAACCTCGTGGACGCGGCGAAGGACCCGAAGGACGTCGCGGACGAGCGCGCCGTCGCGCTGCGGCCGCGCGGCGTCGTCGAGGCGCTCGTGCTGCACCCCGTGGCGCTGACCGTGAGCTTCGCGCCGCCGGCGCCGGGCGGGCCGGACGACGACGACGACGACGAGAACGCGTTCTCGACGCTCGCGGTCGTGTCGAACCTCGCGGAGTTGGACCGCGCGGAGGTGCGGCTCAAGTCGTTCGCCGTCGAGAACGCGGTCGAGGAGCCCCACGACCTCGCGCGGAAGATCGGGCGCCACTACGCGACGACGCTCGTCTTCCAGTTGCACAAGGTCGTCGGGTCGCTGGCGTCCCTGGGCCAGCCGGCGAACTTGGTGGGCACGATCGGCAACGGCGTGAAAGAATTCTTCTACGCGCCCGCGCGCGGCGTCGTCCAGTCGCCCAAGGCCTTCGCCCAGGGCGTCTACTCGGGCACGACGGGCCTCGCGGCGTCCGTCGTCGGCGGCGTCGGGTCGTCGGTGTCGGGCGTCTCGCAGGCCATCTCGCAGAACGTGTCGCTCCTGAGCGGCGACGCGGACTTCCTCCGCGAGCGCGAGGCGCGGCGGCGGAACCACCGGGACCAGGCGAGCGCCCACGCGGAGCAGTACGGCGCCGCCGGCGCGGCGGCGTCGGGCGTCTTCGGCGGCGCCGCGGCCATCGTCGGCGGCGTCGCGGACGGCGTCGGCGGCATCTTCACGAAGCCCGTCGAGGGCGCGCAGCGCGACGGCGCGCTGGGCTTCTTCAAGGGCGTCGCCAAGGGCATCGCCGGCGTCGCCGTCAAGCCCGTCGTCGGCGTCCTCGACGGCGCGTCCGTCATCCTCGACGGCGTCTCGCAGGGCGCCGTGGCCACGCCGCTCGCGCGCCACGTCGGCCCGCCGAAGAGCCTCGTGCGCCTCCCGAACTCGGAGCAGCTCGTCCTCGCGGGGAGCGCGGGGCTCGGGTAAGTTTAAGTTTTACGGCGCGCCTACTCCTTCTTGGCCTTTGGCGCGGGCGCGGGCGCGGGCGCGGGCGCCGTCGCGATCGCGAGGAGCGCGTAGGACGCGGCGGCGCTCGCGAGGAGCACGGCGCCCTGCGTCGCCGCGTCGCCGGCGAAGAGCTTGGCGGCGACCTCCGTGCCCAGCACGCCGCCCGCGGTGCCCGTCTTGTGGTAGCCGAGGCCGACGCAGTTGCCCGAGAAGAGGCCGAGCGAGCCGCAGACCTTGAGCAGCTGGCCGACGCGGCTCCCCGTCGCCGCGCGGTGCAGGGCGACGAGCACGGTCGCGTTCGCGGCGAAGAAGCAGCAGGACGCCGTCATGGCCGCCGTCGGCCGGTTCGCGGGATCCATCGCGACCCAGACGAGCGAGCACGAGCCGCCTAGACCGCAGCAGATGGCGCCGACGACCATGTAGCGCGTCGCCCGCGTCACCGCCGAGGCCATGTCGGCGAAGCAGAGGAAGAGCAGCACGCCCGCGAGCATGGCGAACTCCATGCCCGGCGCCTCGTACATGTGGCCCGTCGCCGCGAGGCACGCGCCGCCGAAGAGCACGTTGAGGCAGGCGGCGCCGACGAGGTAGCAGAAGTCGCAGCGCGCGAGGCGGTCCTTGTACGCGGCGAGCGTGAAGTGGCCGACGAAGAGGCACGCCGCGCCCAGGCCCTTGAGCACGCCGCCCCAGGGCGGCAGCGCGTGCTCGTAGCCCGCCTTGAACTCGTCGTAGGCCTCGAGCGACGACCCGAGGAGGCCCAGGTAGCAGGGCGGCGCGACGGACGCGAAGGTCGCCAGAGCCGGGGCTATGAGCACGAGCGAGGACATGCTTTGTGGCTCGTTTATGCGACGTGCGACGATGCGAGTGGTGACCAGAGCTGCCACACCGATCGCGTTGCCTGCAATCACTTCAAGTTCACGTCTGGTGCCGTCACGATTGGCCCGGGATTGCCTGGGGCTGGGCCATCATGGAGGCATCCGCCGACGCGGCTGCCTCCCTGCCGCCGCCGCCGCCGCCTGCGGCGACGCCCGAGGCGCGGTCGTCGGAGGAGGACTCCGTGCGCTTCAGCGAGATGCTGCGGCGCGGGCCCGACGAGGATTGTAAGATCGGCCCCAGGGCCGCGCCGCCGACGACCGCGGCGCCGACGCCGAGCCTCGCGGGGTCGCTCCTCTCCTGGGCGACGGCGCGGCGGCCCGCGAAGTCGGGCGCCGAGGCGCCGTTGACCGCCGCGTCGGCCGAGTCGCTGCGGCGCCGGTCGCGGCTGCCGCGGCAGGGCCGGCTCACGATCCACGACCTGCTCCGATCCGAGGTGCTCCTCCAGCACGACGACGGGAGCGCGGCGCCGGACGACGTCGACGCCGTCGCGGCCCAGTTCGCCGCCTTCGTGCGCGAGCGCTTCGCCTACGAGCTCGTCGAGTTCTACCTCCGCGTCGAGCGCTACCGCCGCTGCGGCGGCCGCGAGGCCGCGGCCGTCGCGGCGTCCATCGCGGCGACCTTCGTCGCCCGCGGCGCGCCGCGGGAGGTCAACGTCAGCGACGCGGCGCGCCACGCGGCGCTCCAGCGCGCCGCGGGCGGCGCCGCGCCCCAGCCGGACGCGTTCGACGCGCTCCAGGCCGAGGTCGTCCACATCCTGGCCGTCGACTTCCTGACGCCTTTTCTCAAGGAGACCTTGGACGCCCAGAAGCCGGCGAAGCGCGCCCGGCGCCGGGCGGCGTCCTGCGGCCGCGACGATTTTCCGAGAGATGTCGACCGGGGAAACGAAGACCAATCGTTCCCTAGGCGCCGCGACGTCGCCGCGAAACTTTTGGCCTACGTCGCGTCTCGCCACGTGCTCGCGGACCGGCCCGCGCCGTCGCCCGCGGCCGGCGACGGCCTCGCGGACGCGCCGCCGGCGCCGCGCGACGCGTGGTGGGTCGGCCCGCGGGCGCTGGGCGACGCGCTGCGGACGCGGGGCGCGCTGCTCAAGCGGTCGCGGCCCGGCGGCCTCCGGGGCGGCCGGCCGAGCTGGCGGCGGCGCTGGTTCGTTCTGGACGTCCGCGGTGGCGCGATCCGCTACTACGCCGACGCGGGCGAGCGCCGCGGGCGGCCGCCGCTGCGCTTCTCGCCGGCCGCGGCCGTCGGCGAGGCGCGCGCGCCGGGCGCGTCGCCCGACGAGCGGCGGCGGACGCTCGAGCTCCGGGGCCTCGTCGACGACGCGGGCGCGACGCGCGCCGTCGTGCTCCGCGCGCCGACGAGCCGCGAGGCCGACGAGTGGCGGCGGTCCCTGGCCTACGCGGCGCGGCTCGCGTCGCGGCGCGGCGCGCTCGGCGTCTCGGCCGAGTCCCTCGGCGCGTCCGACGACGAGTTCGAGGGCGCGCGGCGCCTCGCGCGGCCGCCGGGCCCGCGGCGGCCCGCGTCGCTCACGGTCGCGCGGAGCCAGCCCGTCGTGCGCATGCCCTGGCGGCCCGCGGCGCGCGGCGAGCCCGCGCGCGAGCCGCCGCCGACGCCGTCGAGCCCCGTCATCATCGACGCGCTCCGGCGCGTCGTCCGCGAGGGCGACGACGCCGTCGACGCGGACGCCGTCGACGAGGCCGTCGCGAGCCGCGACTCGCTGGCCCTCGGCGACAACATCGCCACGGCCCTCGCGGCCGGCGGCGACGACCGGGAGTCGCTCGGCCTCTCCGCGGCCCGCGAGGACCTCTGGGACCTCCTGCTCAAGTCGCGCGGGGGGACGCTGCCGGCCTAAGTCGCGGGCTGTTTTTTTCAAATTAACAAAGGCCCGGCGCGAGCGGTGGGGGGCGAGGGGCGGCGGCGGGGCCGCCCGTCGGCGAGGGGCGGGGGGCGGGGGGAGCGGGCGACGGCGGAGGGGGCGATGCGGGCGGCGCTATTCCTGGTCGACCTCCTCCATCTTCCTGTCGAACTGGCCGGCGAGGGATTTGGCGGATTTGAGCCAGAAGGCGATGATCAGGAAGAGGCTCCCCGCGAGGTACGGCGTGGACGCGGCGAGCGAGCCGAGGCTGAGGATCAGGCCCTGCTGGTAGAGGGCGCCGCCGGACTTGCCGAGGGGGTTGCCGATGACGTCGACGGCGGCCTTGCCCTTGGTCTTCTGCTCCGCGTCGAGCGGGATGTAGGCCATCTCCTTGCACGGGTCGAAGAGGCTGTACTTCGTCGACTTGGACGCGATGTTCTGCGCCGCGCCGACGAAGACGGCCATCATCAGGGGCGTCGTCCCCAGCTTCGCCGCGACGGGCTGCCAGAAGCCCGGGGCGAGCACGAGGGAGAAGAACGTGACGCCCGTCGCGAGCAAGGTCACGGGCGTGACGGCCGCCGCGATGCCCCAGCCGAAGCGCTTGAGCACCTGCTGGCCCACGAGCATCATGAAGAAGGTCACGACGCCCGTCGACGACGAGAAGCCGCCCATGAAGGCGCTGTAGGCCGCCGGGTCCGGGAACTGCTTCTTGAGGTTCGCCTTCCACGTGACCTCGACGATGTTGATCGCCATGCCGTAGCCGATGACCAGCGTCGCGAGGTCGCGGATGTACTTGGACTGGGCGAGGTACTTGGCGCTCTCGCCCATGGACATCTTCGTCTTGACCTTGGCCTTCTTGAGCGTCGACGGGTCGACGCACTCGGGGTCCGTGACGACCTTGCGCTGCATGTACTCGTACGCGCCGAGGAGCACGCCGCCGGACGCGCAGACGCCGCCCATGAGGAGCTGGAGCGACAAGCCCCAGGCGTCGGCGCCCGTCGCGCCCACGCGCAGCTTGGACACGAGGCGCACGAACTGGCCCGAGAAGACGAGGGCGATGTTCGCGAAGAGGCCGAACAGCGGGTAGTACTTCTTCGCCTCCTTGACGGAGACGACGGAGTTGGCGAAGCCCCAGAAGAGGAGGGACGCGACGACGGAGCCCCAGAGCTCGGCCATGAGGTAGAACATGGAGAAGGTCCAGTTGCGCAAGATCGCGATGGGCGCGGCGAACGACGCGGGCAGGAAGCCCTGCATGGCGTCGCAGAGGCCGTTGGGGTGCAGGACCCCGATGTTCGGGTAGAGGAGGAAGGCGAAGGACGCGAAGAAGGTGAGGAACGTGCCGATGACGCCCCGGAAGAGCTGCGGCTGCGAGAACCGGTTGCTCAGCGACGAGTAGAGGATCGTGAACGCGATCGCGCCGGGCAGGTTCACGTAGGTCTTGAGGAACGGGATGATCTCGGCGCCGGACTTGGGCGCCGTGACGACGAGCACGTCCTTCGTGTCGCGCAGGATCGTGTAGTTGAAGAGGATGCAGAAGAAGATGATCGCGAGCGGCACGACCTTCTTCACCTCGGGGCTCTTGAGCCCCTTGGCGAGCTTGGTCGTGCGCGGGAAGTTCTCCTTGAACCAGGCCCTCTTTTCGGCGTCGTCCGCGGTGGCGGCGACGCCGAGCTTCGTCTGCTGGCGCGCCGCGACGGGCGTGGAAGGCAGGGGCGACCGCAGGCCGCCGGCGCCGCGCGCGAGCGTCGACACCGCCGGGCTCTGGAACGCGTGCACGGAGGCGACCGAGGCGAGCAGAATTGCGAGCTTCATGGCCATCTTGGCGCGGTGTGCAGCGGCGGCGACGAGAGGAGTTCACGCAACGAGCGAGCTGTCTTCCGTATATGCAAGTTCTTGGGTGCAACATCAAGTCTAATATGTCGCCAACCTAACCCACGCACTTACGCGCAGCTGGTAATCATCGCCCCTTGAACCATGCGTTGTTCGCGGCGGGAGCTACGCGTACGCAGCTCTGTGCTTTTTTTTTGCAGCGATTTGACCTCAAAGAAGGTCGTGGACGACGATGCCAGAGACGCAGGGCTTTCTGTCGTTGTCGCAGGCCGTGTGCCGGAGTCGAGGCTACTCCGCAGTCGCCGTAGCGACGCATGCTACGGCATCCACGGCGCGGCTCGCACGCGCCGCGCGACGGGGCGGTCGTACCAACGTCAAACAACGATGAAGTCGTGATTTGCCGGAGAGCTCGAGCCGGCCTGGTCCAGCATGGCTCCAGGATCTGTCGCTGTCGCCTGCTTGCTGCTGCTCCATGGCGCGCTCGGCAATACCATCGCGTCGAAGCGCCGCCAGCTCAAGTTGCTCCGGCCGCAGAAAACGGTCCGCCGCGGCGGCTCGGACGGCCAGGCCGCGGAGCCGGGCGCGGCGGCCGCGGCGCCCGACGCGGCCGTGGACGCCGCAAGCGATGCGCCCGACGCGCAAACCGCGGCGAGCGCGACGCCGGTGGAGGCCGGCGCGGGCGGGACGCTGACGCAAGCCGCGGCGAGCGCGACGCCGGCGGAGACCGCGAGCGCGACGCCGGCGGAGACCGCGAGCGCGGCGCCGGCGGCGCCGCCGCAGGACTTCGACGCGGCCGCGGACGCCGCGCGGGCCGCGGCCGGGGCGGACGCCGCGGCGCTCGCGGCGGCGGCGGAGGCCGCCGCGAGCCTGCCGCCGGCGCGGCCGCACTCGGAGCACGACCACCTCTCGGCGCGCGAGCTCGCGGCGGTCATCGTCGCGGATTTGACGCCGCACGGCATGCTGCCCCTCGCCTGGGCCGCGGCGGCCGGCGGCGGCACGGGCTGGGTGCCCGCGGTCGCACTCCTCGCGACCTTCGGCGCAGCCTCGACGTACACGCTCTTCCTCGCGGCGCGCGTGTCCGAGGCCGCGGGCGGGTCGCCCGCGCCGGCGCTGTCCACGCTCTGGCGCCTCGCGCGGCTGCCCGGCGCGCGCTGCGTCGACGGCGGCGTCGCCGTGCTCTGCGGCGGCTGCTGCGTCTTCTACGCGGCATCGCGTCCCGCGTCCGAACGAGAGGGGCGAGCGCGACGCCCGACCCCCCTTCCGAACGCAGGCCTTCGCCGCGGACCTCTTCCACGCCCTGGCGGCGCGCGCGGGCTTCGCGGCGTCGCGCGCGGCGGTGCTCGCGGCGCTGCTCGTCGCGCCGCTGTCGCCGCTCTGCCTCGGCGACGACCTCAGCGTGCTCAAGTACTCGTCCTACGCGGGGCTCGCGGGCGTGGCCTACACGTCGGTCTTCCTCGCGCGCGCCGGCGCCGCGGCGGCGCTGCCCGTGCCCGCGCTCCGCGTCGGCGCCGGCACGGCCGTCCTCGCGAACACGCGCGGCGACGCCGCGTCCCCTTTTATACGACGCGCCGCGTTCGTGACCCCGAAACCCCCCCCCCCCCCCAGGCTCGTCGTCGCGTTCCTCTGCCACTACAACGCGCTCCAGTACTACCAGGAGCTCGAGCCGGCGGAGCGGTCGCCGCGGACCTACGCCAAGTCCGCGGGCGCGGGCGCGCTCGCGACGGCGGTCGTCTTCGGGTGCACGCTCTTCGGCGGCGTCGCGGCCTTCGGCGGCGCCGCGCTGCCGAACGTGCTCAACAACTTTGGGGACACGGGCGGCGCGGCGCTCGCGCGCCTGGGCACGGGCGTCGCGATCCTCTCCGGGTTCCCGCTCATGTTCGCGGGGCTCAAGGTCGCGCTCGACGGCGCGGCGCCCGCCTGGGTCGCGCGCCGCGACCGGCGCGCCGCGACGCACGTCGCGCTCCTCGCCGCCGTCGGCGCCGCGGCCGCGAAAGCGTCCGAGGACGACGTCGGCCTCATCATCGAGCTCCTCGGCTCGACGCTCGGCGTCGCCGCGGTCTACGTCGTCCCGGGCCTCGCCGCGGCGCGGTCCGCCGCGCTCCCGCCGGCCCACAAGGCCGCCGGCGGCGCCGTCGCCGCCGCGGGCTCGCTCCTCGCCGTCGGCGGCAGCCTCCTCACCTACAAGACCCACGCGAAGCACTGAGGCGCGGCCGCGAGCTAACACCGACTCGACCGTGGGATCATTCCGCGACTGAAACAAACGGAAGTCTCGTCTCGGAAGAATGGGGGTTCGTTCTGGTCTCCTTTGCGGCCGTGGACGCGTCGCCGCGGCTCCGACTGCCCCAAAAAACAACAGACGGAAGTCTCGGAAGAATGGGGGTTCGTTATGGTCTCGCGCGGCGGGCCGCGCCCCGGTCCCCGCCCGCGTCGTCGTCGGTCGCGGGCGCCCCCGCGCGCCGACGCGCGAGCGCGCCGCGGCCGCCGCTTAGGCGTTCGTGGAGCGCGCCTTCGCCTTGGGCGCCGCCTGCGTGCCCTCGCGGAAGCCGTTCTTGAATCGGCGCGGCAGCGACTTCATGTAGCGCATGCGGCCCGTGCCCTGGGTGCGGCGGCGGAGGCCCTTCTCGCTCCAGTTGAATCGGCGCATCTTCGCGCCGGGGTAGCCGCAGGACGAGCACACCTTCTTCTGGATGTGGAACGACACCTTGCCGCACCGCCGGCACGTCGTGTGCGTCTTGCTGTGGCGCTTGCCGAAAGACGACGTACCCTTCGTCTGCGAGGGGGGGGGTGGGTGAGTTTCTCCGTGCGTGTGGCGGCGGGGGAAGGTTGCGCGCGGGGTTTGGGGGCGGCCGGGGCGGCGC